AGTAAGGTGGGAGATGGGATGAGAGATCAGAGAGAATGGGGGTGAGGCAGGGCAGTAACAGAGTAAGGTGGGAGATGGGATGAGAGATCAGAGGGAACCGGGGTGAGGCAGGGCAGTAACAGAGTAAGGTGGGAGATGAAATGAATTTTATTAATGTATTTGTTTATTAAACTATGTGCAAAATATTAAAGATTCCTGAGCTGTTTTGCATTCTTTGGTTTTTACATTGAGTCTGGTATGTTCTATGCACTCTCACTGTCCCTGGTTCACCTTCTCAGTGAGCTTTGTGGGCAGAGTCCATGCTGCTCTGCCTGTGACCAGATTAAAGGAAGAATGAGGTATTTCCATTTGAAAATTTATCTGCATTTGGGTACGTTGGCTCATGCCTGTGATCCTAGCTATTCAGGAGGCTGAGGTGGGAGGATTGTTTGTACCTGGGAGTTTGAGACTAGCCCTGGTTGCATAGCAAGACTTCATCTCTAAGATAGATAGATAGATACATACATATGTGCTTACATACCCATGTATCCACTGTCCTTTTGTATTAAGGTAGTCTCTCAAGCTCTAGTCTTAATTTTTTATTGTCTCCTAACCCATTTGAGGGTGTGAAGACATTCTGCTTCTCTGATACATTCATGGGATAGGTGGGCCCAGGGGAAGGTACTTAGCATCTCACCTGAAACAGAATGAGTTGTGTGTTGTTCTCTCATCCATTTCCAAGTGTTTTATTTATTTTTTCCAATGAAGAAATGATTTCTTTATATTTAAATGGACTTTTTGAGATGATTGCTCCAGAGGAAAGTATTCTTCATGTTTTGACCATTGATACTGCAGCTTTTTCAGGGAGTCGTGGTTTGTTTCTCTGCTCACTGCCTGCACTTCCCCTGCAGAACCTCATCTGCTCTGAGTGTGGGGATGAGTTCACTCTGCAGAGCCAGCTGGCCATCCACATGGAGGAACACCGGCAGGAGCTGGCGGGGACCCGGCCCCACACCTGCAAGGCCTGCAAGAAGGAGTTCGAAGCGGCATCAGAGCTGAAGGAGCACATGAAGACTCATTATAAAATTAGGTATGCGTCCTCACTTGGGCTTGGTTAAAAGCAAATCTAGATGATCCATTAAAAGTTGGCATACTCCAGGTGGTACCTGTGGCTCAGCAGGTAGGGCGCCAGCCCCATATACTGAAGGTGGCAGGTTCACACCTGGCCCTGGCCAAACTGCAACAAAAAAATAGTTGGGCGTTGTAGTGGGTGTCTGTAGTCCCAGCTACTCGGGAGGCTGAGGCATGAGAATTGCCTAAGTTCAGAAGTTGGAGGTTGCTGTGAGTGTGACGCCACAACACTCTACTGAGGGCAATAAAGTGAGATTCTATCTCTTAAAAAAAAAAAGTTGGCATACTTCACCATGCTCAATTAAACTTATTTGGTGCAAGAGCACTGCACAGTGGCACCAGCAGATAACCTGGTGTGGTGTGAGAATGTCTGTCACAATACGCCCAGCCATGCCTGTGACAGGGAAGGTTGGTGTGAGCATTACTGAGTAGGAGTCGAGCTGTGGGTAGAAATGGTTAGCGAGGATGGTGAAGGCTGTAGAACAAAGCAGTAGCTGCACATTTGTATGGCAGGTAACAAATATGTAGGACAGATTGACAAAGGTTTAATTAGTGCTCTTTTTGGTGGGGTAGTTTGTACCGTATTTCCCCGAAACAAGACCTACCCCCAAAATAAGCCCTAGTAGGATTTCTATGCATTTGTTAAATATAAGCCCTACCCCAATAATAAAACCTAGTGATGGGTGTAGCTATGCAGATACACTACATAGCCACACCATGCATTTTGGCATGGAGACATCCCCTGAAAATAAGCCCTAGTGTGTATTTTTCAGGAAAAATAAATATAAGACAGTGTCTTATTTTTGGAGAAACATGGTAGTACCTGGCTGTTGAGGAGTCAGTGTGCTGGCACTGTTCTTAGGTCATGCAGGTCTTCATTCAGTCATCACAGACAGCCCAGGCAGGCCAGTGTCATGTGGGTCCCTATTTTGCAGATGAGAAAACTTAAGAGAGATCAAGTAATTTTATAAGGTTTTATAGCTCATCACTCAGGAGTTTGAGATTTCAATGCTACCAGTCTGGGTGTAGGCCTCATAATTGTAACAACTATAACCATATTTAAATTCATATACATGTTTATTCCCAGTCATATTCTGATGACATTTCCTTTTCTTCATAAAATGAAGCAGAGAGTTCTTCCTGCCCCTGTGCTCAGCTAATGGTGATGATCACTTGTCTCACAAAGAGTTTCTCCAACAAACTATAAAAGATGTATCAATTATCATTTAAACTATTTTCTATTTTATTATTTTTTTAAAACTGGGTTTCACTTTGTTTTATAAAATAGAATAAGTGTTCCCTATTTTAACTGGTATACTATCGCTTTAGCTTGCTGCTATTCTAAGCCCCAATGTTTAGGAAATATCTGTATTTTTAATTTATTTTTTTATTTTTGCAGTTTTTGGCCAGGGCTTGGTTTGAACCCACCACCTTGGGCATATGGGGCTGGCACCCTACTCCTCTGAGCCACAGGTGCTGCCCAGAAATATCTGTATTTTTTAATAACAATAAGAAATACTATATCAATTAACTTATAAACTTTATAAAATTCCTAATGTTTGTTTACTGTCTTCAATATTGTATTTTAAAAGTGTGGACTGAATATTTCCATATGATCAACCATCTCTTGCCTTTAAAAACTTTTTTTTAAATTTATTATTCATTTATTTTTAGAGACTGGGTCTTACTCTGTCACCCATGCTGGAGTGCCGTGGTAGAATCATAGCTCACTGCAACCTTGAGGTTCTGAGGTCAAATGAACCTTCTGCCTCAGCCTCCTGAGTTGCTGGGACTACAGGTGTGCACCACTACACTCAGCTAATTTTATTTTATTTTGATGGAGCTGGGGTCTTCCTGTGTTGTTCAGGCTGATCTGGAACTTCTGGCCTTAAGCAGTCCTACTGCCTCAGCCTTCCCAAGTGCTGGACATGAGCCAACCCACCTGGCCTGTTTCAGTGATTTTTTTTTTAACCCCCAATATATAACGCATGTTTTTGATTCACTCATATTTTTATTCTGATGAAGTTTTAACAAGGCATTTTTGATGTTTCTTCCAAAGTTTTAGAAAGAAGGTTCAAGATAGGGTGGGGCTTGTGGCTCAGTGGGTGGGGCGCCGGCCCCATATACCGAGGGTAGTGGGTTTCAGCTCTAGCTGAACTGTAACAACAGCAACAAAATAGGCGGGCATTGTGGTGAGCGCCTGTAGTCCCAGCTACTTGGGAGACTGAGGCAAGAGAATCGCCTAAGCCCAGGAGTTGGAGGTTGCTGTGAGTTATGATGCCATGGCGCTTGCTGAGGGTGATAGTGTGAGACTCTGTCTCTTAAAAAAAAAGAAGAAGGTTGAAGATACTTGGTGGTTATATTCACAGACAGCCTGGCTTCTAGGTCTTCCCGGGTTGAGGACAAACCAGACAGAGGAGGCCTCATCCTCATCTGGTCATTCTGCAGGGGAGAGAGTGACCAATGAATGGGCTAGTCAGCAGGGGTCTCGGATAGTGACAAATGTTGAGCAGGACAGAAAAGTGGGGTGACGTGAGGTGATGTGAAGGTGAGGGAGGTTGGTGAGGGGATGCATTTGGTAGGAGACTTGGCCGAGGTGCGCGAACCTCTGTGAGTCCCAGGGTGCTCCAGGCCCTTGGCAACAGAGAGTGTCTTTTGCTTGAGAATCAGAAAGGAGGCCCACGTAGTGACAGCCGTCTCCACTGGGGAGAACGTGTCTGGGGTTGGTGCTTAGGGGAGGGGCTGGGCTGTTGGCGGTTCGAGTTTGGAAGTCATCAGCACCTAAGTGGTCTCAGGCCAGGAGACTGGAGGATTGGCTGAGATCTAGTGTTGATGTGGACATTACACCTGTGCGTATTTTGGTTTTTGACTACCGCAGGTGGAGCTTCGTCTAGAAGAGACATTTTGTACCCCAGGTGCCATTTGCAGTTTTTGACTTGGTAAAACCTAAGCTTCTCAGAAATAGAAAAAATGAATTTTAGGATTTTGAATGTACGAAAGTATAATACTTGTCTATGTATATGTATGTGTCGTGCATGTGTATATGATTGATTTATCATCAAAACATGTTCTCTTGGCCAGTCAGATAAACTTTCTGGTAGGATTTTCACTTGGAAATTGTACCAAAAGGGAGACGACTTAATGTGTATTTCCCCCTGTGTCATACTAGGGTATCAAGTACAAGGTCCTATAACCGGAACATTGACAGAAGTGGATTCACATATTCATGTCCACACTGTGGAAAGACGTTTCAAAAGCCAAGTCAGTTAACTCGGCATATTAGGATCCACACAGGTATGAGAAGCATGTACTTCTGAATGATTTGTTGTGTAGCTGGAGGGAAAGAAATGCACCTCAGTGCTAGTTTGACCTGGAAGCTGGTCCTGGCTTTCCATAATGTGCTGGATAATCCTGGCGAAATTACTTAATCTTTTTGTGGTTTCATTTCCTCACCTGAAAAATGTAGTTATTATGACTATTTATAGGTGTCCTAACTTACAAACGGAAAACTATGTAGTGCTTGTAGACAGGCCTGATAAATACTAGGCTGTTAGTACCTGGGAGTTGATGTTATTATTGTTATTATTATTGGCATGAGATTGATTCATTCACTCAATAACTGTTAAGTATTACTGTATGTCAGATGTTACACTGGGCTAATTAGCTGTCAATAAAGTATTGGATTTTCATATTCTTTTACAATATTGCCTTCACTAACTAGGCTGTAAAACATTAAAATAATAAAAATTTTGTTTCTCCGTGCCTTATCTTGTTTGTTTGTAAGTTCTGCATGAATATTGGAAGTGAGCACAGCATTCATGGCTGAATATTCCTTATGACCTCATAAAAAGTCAGTGTGTAAAACTGTATTAATAATACACATCGCTAGGAGAGGACAAAGGAAAACTGTACAAATATTTATAGTATTTGAAATTAAAATGATCACGCCCTGTCATTTTGATTTTGTCTGCACTTCTGACTCGGTTTTCCTTCATAATGAGAGTAAGACTCTCACAACTGTTTGGTTGGCGGCTGCTGTTTTTCATCCAGTTCTACAATTAGTGAAATGTCTCTATGTAGGGAACTGCAGAGTTTCTCAGATGATTTTAAAGTTTACATCTCAGTATAAAGTTGATCCTTTCAGAGTATCAGCTGGTATTTTTTAGAGCAAGAAGAAAAAAATACCATCTTTACAAATGTGATGATACATTTTATTTGTAGATTATTAGACTCGAGTTTATCTTCTTTGAAGTTGAGACGATGAAAACGTAGTTTTAACATGTTACACACTTTACCTAAGGGAGAGACACATAAAGTGAAGGGACAGAGAGAGCTTCCATGCCCATTCCCCAGATGCCAGGTTGGTACAGTTTTCCTTTCTAAGGGAGTGAGAATTTGATACGACTGGACACTACACTAACCTTGCAGTTAGGTTTGACCCTCGGCAGTTTTCTTTCTGCTCATTTGACTCAGTGGATTCTTACTGACGGCACATGTGTGAAACACTGTTGTGGATGCGGAAGAGAGAGGCTCCCAAAGCACCTGCCTTGGTGGCATGCATACTGTAGTGAGGGCAGGTGGATATGGGAAATGTCAAAAGTTGGAGGGTGATAAGCAGAGGGTGGGGCAGAAGGCTCCCAGGAGGGACGAGGAGAGAGCAGCATTAAGGGCCATGGACTAGAAAGTCCTGGCTGGGAGGGTAGCTTGGACCAGAGCCCTGAAGAGTAGGAGGGAAGCAAACCGCAGGGGGCTTTGGGGGGAGGACCAGCGGGTGGGAGAGGTGGACCCTCCTGGCATGCTGGGGAGCAGCAGAAGCGTGGGGTGGAGGTTGCTCTTGGAACCATAGCGCTGGGGCCGCCACTGTTGGTGTTGTGAGAACAGTGGCTTTTACTCTGCCTGTGACTGGAAGCCAGTGAGGGTTTCCAGCAGACCTGCTGGGACAGAACATGGTAGACGGACTTTCTGTCTGCTGCGTTGAGAAGAGCCTCTAACAGGGAGAGGGTATAGAGGTGGTGAGTCTAGCCACGGTCAGTTTGGGGGTGCTGGGGGACCTGCTGGACCTTGTCGCAATCCGTGGTAGTTGTGGGTGGGGAGCAGGGCTGCTCGAGGTGTGTCTTGAGAGTGGAAGCAGCAGGGTTTGCTGATGCATTGAGTGCGGGGCATGAAGGAAACCAGAGGGTGGGATGACTCCAGGGTTTGACCTGAACTCACAGAAGGAGAGCTTTGCCCACGGAAGACGGCAGGTGGAGGAGATGGTTAAGAGCACACTGGGGGTTAACACGGGGATTCTGGGTAGACAACTGCAGGTCCGAGGAGGAAGTCCAAGGAGATGTTTTGTCTGAAGAAGTAGGTTTGGGGTCTTGAGTTTGGGTAACTTGAATTTTTCTCTTTTTAAGCTGTATGATGCTCACACACATGGAATTATATTTTGATCATTTTTCTCCCTTTCTAGGTGAAAGGCCTTTTAAATGTAGTGAATGTGGGAAAGCTTTTAACCAGAAGGGGGCATTGCAAACGCACATGATCAAGCATACAGGTGAAAAACCCCATGCCTGTGCCTTCTGTCCTGCCGCCTTCTCTCAGAAAGGGAATCTGCAGTCACACGTGCAGAGGGTCCACTCGGAGGTAAACACGGCCGTTCTGAGCTTGTGTCAGGTGTCTTTTGAGTTAATGAGTGAACCAAAGAAAGTCTTTTCCATTTTTAAACTATGCAGATTGAGTTTGTACTGAGTACCCTGTTTTAGAAAATACATATACTTGGGAGCCTTTTCAGTTTATTATGTGTGGAGTAAATATAAAATACCATCTTTTTATCATCTTGCTGACAGAATAGCTTTGATGAATAAATGTTTGAAAATCATAATACCTTTGTTGGCTACAGTCCTTTATTCTGAGTATTCTTAGTGCTAATGCTGCTAGGCTTATACCTGGTCTCAGGAGCCACATCCGTGTCATACAGAGTCCTGGTCTATTAATTTCCTGCTAGTTTGCATGGTAACTATCTCAACTAACATGAGGTACACAGTTTTCTACTGTAATTCTCTATTGTCTGCAGATCATACTGATTTATTGATGATTTATTGATCCTCTGGAAGTGTTTCTGTCAAGCAGGGTAACCTTTGATTTTACTAGTTGTCATGATTGGTTATCTTATTATTGTCTAATTACGGAAGATAAAGAAATATTCAAACAACACAAATAGCTTTTCTCATGAATCAGTTTATTCAATGAAACTATTTCACAGAATGAAAATGGTTTTATTCTTAAAAGTAAATATATATCTTTTAATTATTTTCTTGGCACATTACCTTCAGTAACATTAAGTGAACTGAGAGTTAACAGCATACCTAATAAAAACAGGAAACAGAAGTTGTCTGGGATTTTAGGCAAACAGAATAACATCTAAAGTAAAAAGAAACACCTGCAGACTCTATGTAGTCTAGAAACAGATTCAGAATTGTGTACGCAGTGAGTTAATCATTTTATCATCTAAGATGCAGAGACAGTAGGAAGGCCATAGTAGTGAGGTACTGAAAATGTGCAGTGAAGTTACCTTGAGATCCAGGAGGGTAAATGGGGCTGCTAGGTCATTCTGTGGAGTTGCCTCTGAGCAAAGGTGATGGCCCAGGAGTAACTCGTGTCTGTGCAGCACACAGACGTGTTTCCCTGCAGCCCCAGGACCCCCCGCCCCACCGTGGGGTACTCAGTGCTCCTAAGTTTAGAAATTCCTGTAGGGGCCAGCGATTTCCCTGGCCCTGCTGCGGGACACCCTAGGCTTATACTGGATAGAGATTGGTTTGTAAGTATTATCCAATCCTGTGAGGAATCTAAAACCTTAAATTTCATTCTTAATGAGGTGTTGGCAATAGAATGGAAGTCTTAGTCAAGTGTAGAAGAGGCAATGAGTTTCCAAGCCAGCCTTGGTAATTGTAACAGCAACTAACTCTGGACTTGAGTATAGTGCAAGAGTGTTTTAGATCCTTTTTCTGCTCAAAGCTGTTCTTACTCATTTTACTGTTTCTGGCTTTGTCATAGCTTTTAAAATTGGTCATTGATATAGAATATCAGAATTGATGATGAAAATGTCTAAATGTAGAGAGCTTATTCAGCGTAATACGTATTTATAGCTAACTGGCCTTCATTACTAGATATCATATTGAACCGAGTAAAAAATCGTATGCACTGTATGTTTGACATTTTATAGAGTTATAATTACTGAAAAATATGTTTTCTCAGTCCTGAACCATTTCTAATTTACAGAAAAGTCTGAATTTTAATTAATTTCATACTGGCAATATTGATTAAAGATTTGGTTCATTGATTTTGTAGCTATCTAGTTTTTAATTAAAGCAAAGTTGAAGGGTTAGATTATGGCTGTCATTTTGAATGGAACTGTAAATTATGATTTGCCATAATTTAAATATTTTGATCTACTAATGTATTGTATAAAATTATTGTTTTCTTTTTTATTCTTTAAGGTCAAGAATGGTCCTACCTATAATTGTACAGAATGTAGTTGTGTGTTTAAAAGTTTAGGCAGCTTAAACACGCATATCAGCAAGATGCACATGGGTGGGCCACAGAATTCAACAAGTTCTTCAGAGACTGCTCATGTTTTAACAGTAAGTTTAGTAATTTGGTTTAAAGAAGGAGTTGTTTTACTAAATTTTTTAACTAAAATTTGTCATTTTAAATATGGCCTTTATAATTAAATTTAGTAGCAAAAAGTTGCTTTGAAAGTTTTTTATGTGAAGATAAGGTGCTACTTTTTTAAATTAGTAAAAGTTAATCTTTTTAAGCTTATTAGACAATACTGATTTATGGACTGTAAATCTGAACCTGTAAAAATATAACAGTGTAATCATGCATTTACCAAATCATACATATATATTTTTTCTGAGATAGAGTCTTACTATGTTGCCCTGGGTAGAGTGCTGTGGTGTCATAGCTCACAGTCACCTCTAACTCCTGGGCTCAAGTGATCCTCTTTGTCTCAGCCTCCCCAGTAGCTGGGAGGTACCTGCCACTATGCCCGGCTGTTTATAGAGATGGGATTTTGCTCTCGCTCAGGCTGGTCTCGAACTTCTGACCTCAAGCAGTTTACCTGCCTGGGCTTCCTAGAGTGGCTAGGATTACAGGTGTGAGCTACTGCACCCGGCCTGAAATTATAATTTTTATAGTCAGTGTTTTTTAAAAATTTACTGTAGAACCTCTGTAAGTTGACTATGCAAGGGTCTATAGCAAATTGGTCAACATAAGGAGCTAGGTCTACTGTACTGATACGTACATGTGGTGCATGTCCAGTCTGTGAAAATTAGGTCAACTTAAGGAGGTGGTCAGTTTAGAGAAGTGGTCAGCTATGGAGGTTCTACTATAGTTCATTTTTTTCTTTTTTTCTTCTTTCATCAGATTGTTAATGTGTTGTGGGAGGAACATTTCATATATGAGTGTGAAAACCCAGCCCCCACATTTATGAACTACAAAAAGAGCTCAGTGTTATTGATTATTTTCAAATATTCTTTATCTTAATTTAAATATTAGTGATTCTCTGTAGGTGATATTACATTTTTCTTATGTGATAATAATATTTCTGAAGTCTTTAGACTTTTGAAACTAAATTATATTTTCCAGTACATGTATTTAAAAAAGATTTAACTCGAAACGCATACAAGCACATAGGCACACATAGACATGCACATACTTCACAGGTGCACCTGCTTAGAATCACAGACACACATAGACATGCACATACTTCACAGGTGCACCTGCTCAGAATCACAGGCACATGCAGAGACGTGCACACACCCCACAGGTGCACCTGCTTAGAATCACAGGTACATGCAGAGACGTGCACACACTCCACAGGTGCCCACGCTCAGAATCACAGGTACATTCAGAGACGTGCACGCACCCCACAGGTGCCCACGCTCAGAATCACAGGTACATGCAGAGACG